GCAAAATTGGTAGTTTCTACCAATAAATTTTAACCAAATACAATTGGTACTCTTAACCAAAAAAAAATTATTTACCTCAGATCCACTTTTAACCAATTTTTTTTTGTTACTTTACACAACAATTTTTAACAGTGTGTATATACAAGCTAAAAATTAACCGGGATTTACGGATTTTAAAGCTAATATCACTGTATAGGATTGTTGAAACGTACTTAAAAGTTTTCTACAAGCAACCCTTGTTAAGAAATAATAAAACTTATACATAGCCCAACATATATATTAAAACGTATTGAATTAACTAAATCAGTAGCTACGATTATAGTGCAAAATTAATCAATCTCCCCTGGGAATGTTAGAGTTAATTCACCGTATAGATAGTTCCAAGAGTTTACACAACCAAGCCCTGTATACAAGCGAAAATTAACCGGGATTTACGGATTTAAAGGTAATATCACTGTATAGGATTGTTGAAACGTACTTAAACGTTTTCTACAAGCAACCCCTGTTAAGAAATAATAAAACTTATACATAGCCCAACATATATATTAAAACCTATTGAATTAACTAAATCAGTACGATTATAGTGCAAAATTAACCAATCTCCCCTAGGAATGTTAGAGTTAATATCACCGTATATGATAGTTCCAAGAGTTTACACAACCAAGCCCTGTATACAAGCTAAAAATTAACCGGGATTAACGGATTTTAAAGGTAATATCACTGTATAGGATTGTTGAAACGTACTTAAACGTTTTCTACAAGCAACCCCTGTTAAGAAATAATAAAACTTATACATAGCCCAACATATATATTAAAACGTAGTGAATTAACTAAATCAGTACGATTATAGTGCAAAATTAACCAATCTCTCCTAGGAATGGATAGACCCGTATATGATAGTTCCAAGAGCTAACATGAAAATTACCTAATGAAATTATACTCAAACCTCTATATATCAAATAATTAGACGTTCGGAATGATATAAATGGTGAATTAAAGCATATAGTGCAACACTGCACATTTGAGAAAATCAAATGGCTGAGGTTTAGTCATACACTTATGAAATCTCAGCAACTTATACAATGGATTAGTATTTTGATGGGTAGCTCTTTGGTATACCTACAGTGACTTAAGATGATAGGTTGAAATGAGTGAATCTTTTTTAAGATATACACTATACAGGCAATATAATATGGTACAGCAATGTTAGTTAATAGCCAGTTTATCCAAACAAATATTTATGCTGTTTGGCAACATATTATTAAATACTAATCATTAAGTTATGCTGTCAAGCACAACATTAATAATTATACATATCAAATACCAATATTGTATGGGAGGACATTGTTTTATTCAGTTTAACAGCAGCATACAGTGTAAAGCAGTGCAAAATGATCATGGCAGATCATTTAGGTTAATCTATGGTAGAGCAATGTACAGCAATATCACTCAGCTGTGTAAGACAGTGTAAGTCATGGTATATGTGTGTAAGACAGTGTAAGAAGTCATAGTACAGCATTGAAAGGCAGTCAATTTAGGCATCATCATAGGCAGCCCAATAGCGATGGTTTTATTTGAAATAAAAGTGCACTAAAATATTGAAAATTAGAACAAAGCTTTCCGTATTTTGATTCAATTGAAACATGTATCATTATTCATGCTAACTAAAACCATCCTGTGTATTACCACAGATTAGCTATATACAGATATGAAACTGAAGCCAAATCGAGTCACACGGTTTTCTGTCCAATGTGCGCATGCGTAACTTGCTTGGCAAGTGTCATGTCGAAATTTAATGAGTAAATCGATATAAAAATCGAATTTTTGACAAAAAAATCATGATTTAAACAAAACCTTTAGGGCCATGTCCATTTGATTTAAAATTTTCAAAAAGATGGATAAAGTGGCTCTCTGAGCTAAGAACTGGTTTCTGAAATTATTTGATGCTGGCAAAAACAGTAAAAAATAATAGCTGAGGAGTGCAGGGCTTGCCGTATGGAAAGCCGTGCAATAGTTTAGCACTGGCTGAGCTATTTTTGAGTTTAGAAAACATGTAATACATGCTTTAGATACAATATATCTCCAGGAGGTAAGATGAAATGAATTAACAAATATCTATAGGAATAATAGAAAATGTGAAAACGAAATGATAGGAGCTTAAAAAGGATTTGTGTAGAAAATGAACAACAACAACATGCCGAACATGGCATGTAAATTTGACGAGCAATTCAGCGTATTTAGCGATTTTAGGCGTTTGGCTATAAAAAACAACTTCATCACCCTTGTCTTGGACTATTTTTCACACAAAGTTACAAATTGCTGCTTATGCGCGATTATATATACAACGGTCTTTTTAGCGGAATTCTGAAAACAAAAAATAAAGACATGGCATATGTTTCGAGTTTCGGGTTTAAATAAGCATAAAACTCTATGCTTTGATATATTTTAAAAAAACAGATTTAAAAGACGGTTAGCAACTTGAAAAATTCAGATAAATTACGTGTAGATATGGGAAAAAATTCAGCAAGATTCCATAGTGCCAATGCAATATCTTCGAAATCAATTGGACTTTTTTGATTTTCAAAAGTCATTTTGAGCTATAGATATGCTCAATGCCTTTCCACAAATTAATGAAGGATACATATACCGATTCTCTTTAAGAATATTCCAGAATTAGCCATAGGTAGCGAGGGTTTTTTAAAAAAGCAATTTTTTCGTCTTAAAATCGGCGTTTTACTCATTAAATTCCCTCATGACACTTGCCAAGCTCGCCGGAAGTCATCACGCACTGGCTGCGCGTGGGACACAAAACAATCAGCAAAAACACAGAAGTTTCATATCTGTATATAGGTAATCTGTGGTATTACGCAACGGGCGACTCGCGTGCCTGACAGTGTTCAGGCAATGTAGGCATTATATAGTATATATATCCTAAGGTAGGCAACTTCAATCCCAATATCGACATGGACACATGCAAACAATCAGAAAATACTTCAATTTATCCCTAAAACTAAGCTAAAATAACAGCAGAAATGAAATCTACGATAATTTTACTATACTGACTATATTTTAATATTGAAAACAAATTATGGAAGCGAGAAAAATGCGAAAAGCTTTTAATATTTTACTCATTTTTTGAATGGGACGATGCTGGACCCGCGCTGTTGACTTTTGAGAACGTTTGAAAATGACGAATACGTAATCTGATTGGCTCTTTGAAAACCGTCAAATTTGCATACCGGGGGGATAGCACTCGGAGTCGGCAAGAAAATGCAAGCGCGGGAAAAATCTAATTTTTATGCCAGTCTGAAATTACGGCCCTTTAAAAATGTTTTTTATTAAATTATAAAGGTAATTTTGAAGGATATTGTCTGGAGGTGTATTTAATATGTGATTATTTACGCAGCGTTTGTAAAAAGCGTAAAAAATGTAGCTCGGTTATAAGAAATATCTCGGACGTACGTATACAGTAAGTATATTTAGTTTATAAAAACCTTATAATTTGCGTCGTGTTGCCTATGGTCTTGCTTTCAAAACAAAATTATATACCTTTAAATATCTCGCGATGAACAGGCAACAATTTAAACTACAAAGCTACAATTATGGGGAAGGAGAAGACCAACGACAAAGTATACTGTCTCAACTCTGATTTTTATATTTGGTAAGTAATTTTTATGTAATGTTTATATAAACATATTTGCAGTTAGATATTTAAGAAATACAATCCATAATTGTTTGGTTAAAAAGTACTTTCCTATCAGGGCTAACGTATATAAAGAACATAATAAAATTATAGCATAATTGTCTAATAAACACAATTTGGGTTGAATTACTCAGATACTGTCCCTTATATGGCTTAAAATACTTTCTCACCAGGAATTATACGCATATAAAAAAAGCATGTCTTCCTTTTTACGATTACCACACTCATGGGAAAGGGAAAGCTTAAAAATCTATACTTTTACCAATAACATAACGGCAGTAAATCTATGCTATTGCTATACACAGTAGAATCATGATTGTATAGGTGTATTAAACTTGAACTGTATTAAAAAAACTCACCAATAGACATATTACGACTTCTTTAAACGCCAGTCAACCAAACTCTTTTTAGTCTTTTCTTTACCAGCATACATCATGTTTATAAGAGTCCATGCGTATTAATGTTGATTTCACGACCATACATTTAATATTATGCAGGAATAGTTGACGTGCGGCTTTTCACAAAGGGACCGAAAACAAAAATCTTTGCTAAAGTACTCGTCCAGAAAAACGCCATTTGAGTTGATCCATCAATTTTCTACCAATAGAATATTGCTAAAGGTTTCAGATGACACACAAGTAGGCAATTTCGTCAAGCAGGCAATCCATGAATCTGCAATAAATAAGGAAATCGAAAAAAGAACGGCTGAAAAACCACATGATCAATCGTCGATAAAAACATGAATAAACAAGATCGTAATGCCGAAGAAAACTAAATTTTTTTGTTCATTCATACCTTGCCAGCATTCCTGTAGTTTTTTTTCATAATTTGAGCCCAGATCACTACGAAAAATGCATGAAAATGCACGATTTTTCGCTCATCGAACACTTTGCTGTTTGCCAAAAACGTGTCTGTAATTTTGATGGCGAAAACCGGTCTGACCGGTTATATTCAAGTCAAATGACGTAACAAGTGCTGGGGGAGGGTCACGTGCCAGAATGTTATAGTATACAGTTAATACAGCTAGAATGTTATAATATATATAATACACAAACGCGACCTTGTTGGAAGGTTATCGAAATAATTGAAATACTTATAACTGTTTATTAAGTTTGCATGCATCCAATTTTAACAAAATACACACATTATACTGATTATAGGAATAAACTGGTGTCATGCATGAAAAATCAAAATATATAGTTCACACCCCTCACTTAGTCTTAGTTCATCTTAGTTGTTGTAGTTTATGTGAATGCAATAGGATCTGAATCCACCTTTGCGAACTACAGGCCGGTAGATAAACATCTTCCTTATTACAGAGATTACATCAATCCATGAATCAAACGGTTGATTTATCATCCATCAAGTTGACAAAAGAGCAACAAGACGTCGCAGACCTCGCAGAACTTGGCCATAATGTTTGCATATTTGGAAGGGCTGGCGTGGGAAAGACTACAGTTGTCGAAGAAATAACGAAAAGATTAACTGCAAATGGAATTAAAGTTCAAGTTCTATCATCAAGTGGGATATCGTGCATGGCTTATAACTGTGGGGCTAAAACTGTCCACGCCCACTATGGCTTGCAAACTGCAGAGCTGCCAGATAGTCTCTTGATTGAACGTTCCCTTCGACGGCAGAATATACTCGAAAACATAGAAAATACTAACGCAGTAATTTGGGACGAGATTTCAATGTCCAGTGAACGTATTTTTAGTTTAGTCAATCTTCTTCAACACACTGTCTTAAAAAATAACCATCCTTTTGGAGGTGTTCAAATCATTTTAGTTGGTGATTTCTGGCAGTTGAAGCCGATTCCAGGTCCATTCGATTTAGGAAAAGTGATATATTCTTCGGAGCTGTTTGAAAAGGCATTCAAACATCGATTTAAACTGACAACGATTTGGCGTCAAGGGGGTGAAGAGTTAAAGTTGAAAGCCGCATTAGATCAAATACGATGGGACAATGCGATGATGCGACAGAGGAATATCTCCAAGGTTTATCGGAAGAACCTATCTCGCATTGCACTCAGACGAGCCTCCTGTTCATATCTTTTTCAAGAGATTGCCTGTCAGCGTTCATAATTTAGATGTTCTATCAAAATACCAGGAGACCTAATGATGTTTGAGAGCAGCGACACGGGTAGTGCGCAATGTCTGGAAACCACAGTTCGCAAGATTGTCAGTTTAAAGAAAGGGTGCAATGTAATGCTGACCTATAACCTAACGCACAACTTAAAAACGGCTCTCGAGGAAAGTTTGTTGGAGCAGAAAATGATTGCCTGGTCGTAAATTCCCGCGAATTGGAAATGTCGCCATTTCTAAACGAACATGGTACATGTACAACAGATATGGGACAATAAAAGCCAGCAGAACCCAATTTCCCATTGCATTGAGTTACGCAATTACCGTTCATAAGGCGCAAGGTATGACGCTGCCAAGTGTTGTGATTCATTGTTCCCAAGAGTTTGTTCCAGGTCAGACATATGTCGCACTGTCACGCGCTACAAAAGAGTCATCCCTTCAAGTTATTGGATTTCATCGTCGGTTCTTATTGCCATCACCTAGCGAGTTAAACTGTCTTGATACCCAAGACTCCCGAGCTCCGCACTTTGATCACACATGCTGCAAGAATGTTGTTCTCGATGACAGTTTCTTTCAGACGAAAAACGACGACGAAATTCTGTATGGCTGCCAAGGTGATACGCTTAGTGATGCAGTGGACGAGGACTTCGTAGCCTGCGCAAGAAAGGCTTTTGAGGCAAATGAAGGGAGCTCTGTAGATCTGGAAGATGTCCTATTATGTATGGTGAATTCTAGCGACGAATTGTCCCGACCTCCCACAACGTTCAAGATAGAATCGTTTCTGAAGGACATCGTAAATGATTCATCTCACGATTCCTTCAGTCAATCCCTTCGATCGGCAGCATCGTACGCTCTTGCTCATATAGACCTATTTCGCCTACTAAGTGGAATATTTTGGTGTCGGATATATGCGTTGTTTGAGGATCACTTGTCCGAAAATTGTGACGATTTGCACGTTACAAACAAAGAATTCACTTGGGCTACAGGGAAAGTTCACAATTGTTCCTCACTCAAGAATTTAGAAGTGATGTTGTCAGTGCTTTTTGTCTCAGAAAGTGGATTGAAATCGATGATGGACAAAGAAGTTTGGCTGCATCCCTCCTTCTACATATTTACCAGCTATTTGTGGGAAAACTGGTCAAGCTAACTCGTGAACGAGAAGCAGAAGAATCAGCGGAGTTCGACGTGCACGCAATGGGCGCAGAAGGTCGAGGGAAAGTCAGGTATATTGGTGGCTGGACAATAAAGAAATGCCTCGATAAGTACCGATCCTATGTCGTAGGAAATATGTTTTCAACATCACCAGCCGTTCGCACGAATATAAATGTTGAAATGAAGCACCTTATTGGAAAACCATGTTACTGTCCAACATGAATTCCTTGAAACCACCTCAAGCAACACAGAAACGCTCAGTGCAATCGAAGTACGACAATATAGGGAGCGAGGACTGTTGCACATAAGTGATAAAACATACGAATTCTTCTTGGCACTTGAACAGAAGCGAGTAGATCGAATTAACACGAACATGCTTGCTGCTCTTCAGAATGATTTGATCGATGATGCATTAGCAGAGATACTAAATGATGCCCACTTGCGAAGAATGTTTCAAAATATATTTGCCATTGAAGACGATAACAAGGTGAGAATGATAAAAATGAAATTTACACAAGTCAAAGTTCTCTGGTGTCTTAGTAGTGAAAATGTCAGAATAGTATAAAACGTAAAATTAAGCATATAATTTATATTTTTTACAAATATTCTGATTCGTAGGACCTAGTATATCTAATATACAAAGATGTGTCAGAAAGGTATATCAAGATGGGTGCGGGTCAGTTCTTGCGCGACCTTCGAAGAGATTTCCAAATAAAGAAAACAATGGCGCATCGCAAAGCTGTCCTGGAAAGAAGAGAAAAAGCTCGGCAAAAGCGAATGAAAGTCAACGTTCCCGAGATCGAGCAAGACCGAAGTCCTGGCAAGGAAGTCTCTCATACGCGTCTGGTAGCCCTGGTAAAACAAGTCAAATGTAACGGCATGTTACAATTGTACAAGAAGAAGGAACTCCAAAAACTTTGTAGTTCATATGATTGTCGCTTTCTTGCAAAATGGAACAAGACTAAACTAGCAAACGAACTGTGTCGAGCTATTCAGACCATAGTATTATGCCTTGCCCCCAAATAACGTCAATGTTTGTCGTTGATCATAATCAAAATTCAGTCATAGACGATACGATGCGTGTTCCGCCGTTAAGGTTACGTCGTTTATAGATGAAAGTGAACGGTATTTAGCTATAACATTTTTAAAAGCACTTAATAATTATTATAATATAACTATACGATTGCAATGTTAACAGTTCCATAGAGTCAATGGTTAACTAGTATTTTTGACTAGTTGGTTCATGAATAACGTCATGTGAGGTTGCTGCATTAAAATAAACAGCTTATATCAATAAACTGAATGTCTTTTGCATCGGTGATTTATTATTATTCCCAAGGGCGAAAGGGCGATGGTTGGGCAAATTCGAGAACGAGTTGTTTTGCGTACAGCCAGTGTTGCTCTTCTTGCTGATTGATGTTTGGCCGAATATGATGGAATTTTGTGTACCTTGTACAGCTGCGTAAGTCGGGTTGTCGTTTTGCCCATTAGCGCTTCTCAATTGCGAAAAATGATTTTCCACAATATATTGATTCATTATGGCAGGCTTGATTGTGGACCCAGGAAAACGTGACAGTTTTGTTTGAACAATGGATATGAAACCATGTACCATTGACTGGAGATCGAACCATAACTTTTCTGATAGGAAATGAGCCCCTTTGGTCATCTGATCTTTCCAATCGGAGAAAAACTGAAGTGATCCTTCTAATTCCTTCAGTCTCGGATCGTTTACGTGGTATATCTGGTGCTTATCCGAAAAGAGTTGGACCATTGCACTGGTGTGTTTCAGGAATTTTATTGTCTCATCAAGTTTGCTCGGGTCCTTTCCAGTGCTTGCTAAGTGATTTCTATAAGCCTAAGGAGTAAGGTAAAAGACATTTCCTGAATTAGCGCTGTGATACGTAGATATAAGAAATTAATTCCATATGTACAATGATGTAATAAAATGCTACCTCCATCAGATAAAGCATTTTCTTATTTAGCACATCTTCAGCCAAGCTGTTGCGCATCCTTGAACTGGGATTGAGATTGAAGTGCTCCTCTGTTAAGTTTTCATGGATGTGACAAGAGTTGTTTGCTTGGTCCCATTCATAAGCCTCCCTCCAATGCACCCAAAAGATATTTTTCCCATCTTTAGTCAAGCATCTGGATGTTCCATGAGTACTGCTTTTCTCTATGTTATTTCGTAGCTTTTTGAAATTATGCTAAAAGGTAAGATGATTTTGAAATATGTTTTTGAGTGAAAACAAATTGACACACGCTGCATCATCATAGAAACAAAGAGCATACCTTGCAATCCATCATGAAAGCCATCGGCACTTCAGATAACATATTGTAGCCGATGAAATGCAGGTCAGCGGGATGACAGGTGTTAAAATGGATTTTAATAAACTGTCTGTTCGAATCTCCACCATCACAGATAGAGTAGTAAATGCTGAAATCAATAAACCATATATATTATAGCTACATGTTCATATAAATCTATAGTGAATTTTTAATTACTGTTTAACTAATAAATGGAACTTACTTAAACCCAAACTTTTTCAACCGCATAACACCTTCCCAAAATTGCAGGTACAGCACTGAAGAGGGACATTGTGCTGTCGGAAAATGTGCCAAGGGAAATCGAAAGCCCCCGTCACTCAAAAATATAAACTGCATGAGATGGGTAGCGATTTCAACAGACGAATTTCCTAAACAGTGCACACAAAGTAAAACGACTGAGGGAACGTGTATGCGTCCCGAGCTGCATGCACACATATATTTCTCCTTTTGTTTTCCATTTAAATGTACAAAATTTTACCCGACTCAATCCTCTTCATAGCGTTGTAAAACTGCCCCAGTGCAACCATACCAGTCAATTGATGACGTCCTCCTTTTACCGTCATTTGTAAATCTTCCTATAATATTGATTGGGAAAAGTGACACGGTAATTTCATCTGTGTGCTCGACAACCTTAAGGGGAACAACCTTACCACAAGTGCTCAATGTGATGGACTGTGGAGATAACGTAATTGCTATTTCCGAGGTCAAACGCTGACCCTCAACGCTAATGTCGTTGTTCTTCAAACACCTTCTCAAAAGTAAAACATCTTCTTCCAAACACTTTCTGTCAACCACCCAATCTTCATTCCTCGTTGATACTAGTGCTTCGATTCGTTGTATAATATCTTGGTCAAATTTGGTGATCACAACGGTGTCAGAATTTATTATTTCACGCTTTCGTAAGTGCATGTATCGCGAAGGACCCGAACTGTTTGAGGTGATTCTTTTAACCTTCTCTTTCCAAATATCTTTAATAACTACTCCCACCGTCTTTGGATTGACATTAAAATTAGCGTTGGATATGTCAGAATGAATCATTTCTAACGGATATTGAGAACCTTCGCAGTACTCATAATTGCCAAGCATCCTAAAAAGAGCTCTACTTAGAAACTTTCATCATTTCATATAAACTACAACAACTAAGATGAACTAAGTGAGGGGTGTGAACTATATATTTTGATTTTTCATGCGTGACACCAGTTTATTCCTATAATCAGTATAATGTGTGTATTTTGTTAAAATTGGATGCATGCAAACTTAATAAACAGTTATAAGTATTTCAATTATTTCGATAACCTTCCAACAAGGTCGCGTTTGTGTATTATATATATTATAACATTCTAGCTGTATTAACTGTATACTATAACATTCTGGCACGTGACCCTCCCCCAGCACTTGTTACGTCATTTGACTTGAATATAACCGGTCAGACCGGTTTTCGCCATCAAAATTACAGACACGTTTTTGGCAAACAGCAAAGTGTTCGACGAGCGAAAAATCGTGCATTTTCATGCATTTTTCGT